TGTGCATATTATTTCATCACCCAGGTATTAAGTTCAATACCTAATAAATATATTTTCTGTTCCTCTCCTAATGTTTTGTGCATTTACTTTTTGATAATGTCATTGTCCTTTCATAAAAGAGAAAAAATATTAAAAACTACACTTAGGATATAACAATGCTTCCCCAACTCTAACTTAACATTTTTGCTGGTCATTTTCACATGGTCATATGTGTCCAAGCCAGGAATTACACAGAGTGTTTCTTTAGAATGGCAGATTTGCTCCACATGGCCCATTTTAAGTAGATTCCATCTAGCAGAGAGTAGACCAGTTGGTATATTTCATGACATTAGAGATTTCCTTAAAGAACAATGCAAGAAAGAGAAGGAAAAACAAATAGAAGAATGTACTGATTTGCTTGACCCAAATTATCTAGAGAAAGTCACTGCCTGGATAGTTTAATAAACCACATAAATGAAAAGACCAGTTAACAGCTTTTAATCTTATGAAAAATTTTGGTGCAACAGACAGATGTGGAGAGAAAGAGATTTTGAATTACCCACCAAGATTTTCTTCTTTTACTGTAGAAGTCTCTTAGGGCTTTGTATATCCTAGATTACAGCTGCTTCTTTGTGCCAAGCCTCACTCACTCTTCCAATGATGAGGTTTTGGATATGCTACCCTAAAATAGTTTAAGCTGAAGGAATTTGAGAAAACCACAAGGTAGGAAGTTCATTCTCATCTTAATCGACACTCTTCTTGTGAAACAGGTCATAACACCTAGGAAGGTTTTTCTGACCTTCCCCTAAACAAGTCATAAGACCCTCTTGTAAGAGATGCTCTCTCTATATCCAGAAGAAAGAAACATCCTTATCTCTGAAGATGAAGGGACACAGAAAGGAATCTGAACATACCAGGTCTTTCTAAATTTCCCCTAGTTTCCATTAGATTATATCCCCTTAACCTGTCAAATTTCTTCATGATAGTCTATTTTTAAAACCGTCAATAAAATACAGTCATGTTTAACTGTTGCTTTGAGTCTTTATTTCCTTATGAAGCCTCCTGTATCACATGCTAATTATATTAAATAAATCTGTACCTTATTCTCTTGCCAATCTGTTATAGGGGCCGTGGCTATGAACTTAGGATAGGTGAGGGAAAGATGTTTATTCTCTCCTACAGTGGCATTCATCTACCTTGAAGGAAAATTGCCTACAAAAGGTTTAAAGCAGTTCGTCAGTTACACGTTCATGCCATGCCCACTGTGCTAATGGAAAGTGATTAGTAGTAGTATGGCTGGTTTGAAAAGAAGGACTTTTTAAACCTTGAGAGTCTTGGGTTAAGGCACACCATACGTCCATCTCAGCCAGCAGGAACAAATGTTGAAGGGAAGAGTTTAGACTATTTTATAATCACTCAGGTTTAGAGTAGAAGCAAACATTTTGGCCATTTCATAAATATTTTATTATTTGGAAACTTCATGGGCAAAATATAAGCAATACGATCTTGCTTGAACAGAAGGCTCAATAACCAACCTTTGAGGTCTTCATCATGAAGAGCAAAAGGGCACAAGTTTATGGGCCTACTATTTAGTTAACAGGTATCAACAAAGCTGATTACTTTTCATGCACTATAGCTTTGTTTACATAAGACAAGAAATGTGTCACATTTATAGTGTTTATGTGTGATAATCTGTACTAGTGCTTTAAATATATTAAAACTAGGAGCTGTATTAAAAAGGGTCTCTCTAGAGTTGCCAGGTAAAGTGTTAGATTTGAATTTCAAATAAATATTCAACACTTTTTATATAAGTATATCCAAAATTTTGCCTGGAACATACTTATACTAAGAAAAAAAACCATTGTTTATCTGAAATTCAAATTTAACTGAGTATTCCATATTCTTAATTGCTAAATCTAACAACCCTAACAACCCTATATCTTAGCTCTTATGGGTTAAACTCAAAATATGGAAGATTGGGTTCATAGTCATTCAGCGACAGAAACCAGACTTTCTAAGTATACAAATAATGGATTGAATGATCAGTCACATTAACCAAGTATACAAAAGTCTATTCACTTAACAGTAAAAAACAACAGGTTGCTAAACACCCAGTTTAGCATGATAGGCCCTTACAATCTCTGTAAGCACATCTACATCATACTGAGGTCAGGTAAAACTGGTTTTCAAGCACAAGAAGCTCATTAGAATGTGTGAATGTTCTATGATTTAAGACTAAAACAGGTTAAAGTATTAAGCCCACAGTTGGGAACTTGGCAATGGGAACTTAATATTTTAAAAAAATCTACTGGCTCAAAGTTCCTGTTTCTCAAAAGAACCCAGATGGGTTCTGTTAATATTTGTCTCTGTGACTCTTCTTCCTAAGCTCCCATAGGCTGTCCAACCCCCCACCTTGGAATGACACATCCTTCCGTTAGCTGTATTAATAGCTCCAGTCGTATTACGTCAACTCTGCTGCTAGAAGAGGAGACTGTTTTTATCCATTATGTGATAATTTTAAAGTTTAACTCTCAAAAGGCAATCATATTTCTTTCACTTCCACATTCTTAAGGAACATTTCACTGTACTCCTCATGTATTTACTGTACTGACTAGAAAGGTAGATTTGCTATAATACTGTTTTCTCTAAATAAGGGAAATGCTGATAATCTTTTGTTTCAAGCCAAGTGTTTATCTGTATCTCATTTAATGCTCACTAAAAATCTTGGGAGGAAGAGAGCACAGTTATAGAGTAGCAGAACAGTGTCTAAATATAGGTCTGTTTTGGAATCTTACTATATTACTAAAGCACTAATTCCCACTTTTAAGTAAAATGTTACTATGGATTATTATGTAAAAGAAAAAAAAACAAAGATAAAACAAAGCTGGATGAATTCAGCTTCTCCTGTGGCTGAACTATTCTAGGAGATATAAATAAACCATGGCTGGTGACCACCATGATACTATAAAGAAATGAGTACCGGCTTTGGAGTTCTAAAGATCTGACTTAGTATCAAACCGCCATCACTGGGGTAAGAGTAGGGGCCAAAGAGATCAATCTGGAAATTGTTATGGGCTAAATTGTGTCCCTGAATAAATTTGATGTCCTAACTCTTAGCAGCACAGAATGTGACTGTATTTGGAGATAGAGTCTTTAAAAAGGTAATTAAGTTAAAATGAAATTATTCATGTGGGCTCTAATCTAACTGGTGTCCTTTCAAGAAGAGGATATTAGGACAACCAACTGAAATCCCAAGGAAGGCCTCAGAAGAAATAAACCCTGCCAACACCTTGAGCTCAGACTTCTGAACTTTAGAACGGTGAGAAAATAAATGTCTGTTGTTAAACCCACCCAAACTGTGGTACTTTTTATGGCAGCCCTAGCAAACATATTCCTTAACAGCTTAGATCCTGGGTTTATTTTATTTTATTCTTTTTTAAAGTTCTGTGATACATGTGCAGAACGTGCAGGTTTGTTACATAGGCATACACATGCCATGGTGATTTTCTCTACCCATCATCCCATCATCTAAATTAGGTATTTCTCCTAATGCTATCCCTCCCCTATTCCCCTACCCTCCAACAGGTCCTGGTGTATGATGTTCCCCTCCCTGCGTCCATGTGTTCTCACTGTTCAACTGCCACTTATAAGTGAGAACATGCAGTGTTTGCTTTTCTGTTCCTGTCAGTTTGCTGAGAATGATGGTTTCCAGCTTCATCCATGTCCCTGCAAAGGACATGAACTCATCTTTTTTATGGCTGCATAGTATTCCATGAAATAGATGTGCCATATTTTCTTTATCCAGTCTATCATTGATGGGCATTTGGGTTGGTTCCAAGTCTTTGCTATTGTGAAAAGTGCTGCAATAAACATACGTGTGTTTGTGTTTTTATAGTAGAATTATTCACAATCCTTTGGTGATATACCCAGTAATGGGATTGCTGGGTCAACTGGTATTTCTGCTTCTAGATCCTTAGGAGTCACTACACTGTCTTCCACAATAGTTGAACTAATTTACACTCCCACCAACAGTGTAAAAGCTTTCCCATTTCTCCACATCCTCTCCAGCATCTGTTGTATCCTCATTTTTTTTAATGATTGCCATTCTAACTGGCATGAGATGGTATCTCAATGTGTTTTAATTTGCATTTCTCTAATGATCAGTGATGATGAGCTTTTTTTCATATGTTTTTTGGGCACATAAATGTCTTCTTTTGAGAAGTGTTTGTTCATAATCCTTTGCCGACTTTTTGATGGAATTGTTTGTTTCCTGTAAATTTGTTTAAGTTCCTTATAGATTCTGGATATTAGCCCTTTGTAAGATTGATAGATTGTAAAAATTTTCTTCCATTCTATAGGTTGCCTGTGCATTCTGATAATAGTTTCTTTTGCTGTGCAGAAGCTCTTTAGTTTAATTAGATCCCATTTGTCAATTTTGGCTTTTGTTGCCATTGCTTTTGGTATTTTAGTCAGAAAGTCTTTGCCCATGTCTATGTCCTAAATGGTATTGCCCAGGTTTTTAAAGGGCATAATCCCCATGGGTTTGATGTAATCATTAAATAATTAAGTGCCCAGTATGATGCTTTAAAAAATGAATTTGCTCAAGGAATATAAGGACTATCTTTTTCACTTAAGTTCACAACATGAACTAGCATATTTATTAATTATCCTTGGCAAATTCATTAAGGATCTGTTATGTGCAAATACACAAATCAATATCATATTCCTAGTGTTTTCCTTCTGATGGAAGATAGGAGGGCAGTATTTATTACCCCCAATGAATGCATTATACACTGTATTTTGTTGATTCTGCAATGTATATTTTAAAGCACCCTTTTTATTTTAGAAGAGTTTTAGATTTGCAGAAAAACTGTAAAGATAGTGCAGAGTTCCCATATCCCCCAAGCCGCATTTTGCCTATTATTAACAGCTTACATTAGTGGGTACATTGGTTACAATTAATAATTAACAATGATACATTATTAACTAAAGTTCATACTTTATTCAGATTTCCTATTTACCTAATGTCATCTTTCTCCTCCAGAATCCCATGCAGCATACTATTACATTTAGTGATCCTATATCCTTAGGCTCTTCTTGACTGTTAGTTTCTCAGGCTCCTTGTCTTTGATGACTCTGAGACTTTTGAGGAGTACTAGTCAGGTATATTGTAAGAGGCTCTTCTATTGGGATTTATTGCTGTTTTCTTAATGAGACTGAAGTTATGACTTTAGGGAAAAAAAAACACAGAGGTAAAGTGTCATTTTCATCACAACATATTAAGTGTATGTACTATCAATATGATGTATCACTGTTGATACTGACTTTCATTACCTGGGTGGGGTAGTGTGTGTCAAGTTTCTTTACTACAAAGGTTTTTTACTCCTTTCCACGCAGTAATTCTTAGAAGGAAGTCTGCATGCACAGCCCACACTTAAGAATTTGAGAGGGCCGGACGCGGTGGCTCAAGCCTGTAATCCCAGCACTTTGGGAGGCCGAGGCGGGTGGATCATGAGGTCAACAGATTGAGACCATCCTGGTCAACAGATCGAGACCATCCTGGTCAACATGGTGAAACCCTGTCTCTACAAAAAATACAAAAAATTTAGCTGGGCATGGTGGCACGTGCCTGTAATCCCAGCCACTCAGGAGGCTGAGGCAGGAGAATTGCCTGAACCCAGAAGGCAGAGGTTGCGGTGAGCCGAGATCGTGCCATTGCACTCCAGGCTGGGTAACAAGAGCGAAACTCCGTCTCAAAAAAAAAAAAAAAAAGAAGTTGAGAGAGGCTGAGGTGGGTGGATCACCTATGGCCAGGAGTTCAACACCAGCCTGGCCAAAATGGTGAAACTCCATCTTTCCTAGAACTACAAAAATTAGCTGGGCATGGTATGGTGCACCTGTGATCCCAGCTACTCAGGAGGCCAAGGTAGGAGAATCATTTGAACGTGGAAGGCAGAGTCTGCAGTAAGCCAAGATTGTGCCACTGCACTCCAGCAACCTGGGTGACAAAGTGAGACTCAGTCTCAGAAAAAACCAAAAACCAAAAAACAAAAAACAAAACAAACAAACAAACAAAAACAGTAGAGAGTTATGTGCTAACTCCTTGATGGCAGAGTACCTACATAAACTGGAATTTTCCTGCAAGACAGATTTCTCTATTCTCTTCCATTTATTTATTCAATCATCTATGTAAGGATGGACTTAAGGATATTTATTTTATACTTTGGGCCATGATACAGTATCATTAAGTCAGTGCAAAAGTTATTACGATTTTTGCCATTGAAAATAATGGCAAAACTGCAATATCAATGGCAAAAGCCACAATAACTTTTGCACCAACATAATACAAATATTTTGTTGCTCAAATTGTTCTGGCTTTGACCCTTGTTATTTTTTTTTTCCTGACCAATATTTCTTTATCGCCTCTTAGTCCTTTACATACTGTATTTTATTCATTCTATAATTTCCCTTTTTTAAATGTCTGAAATTTACATAATAACACACTATAATTAAAATGAGTACTGACTTTCTTGTTCCTTAGTCACATGTAAAATAATAGTGCGTGCCTTTCAATAAATGGCATCTTAGATTCAATGAATGTCAGAAATTGCTAAACAATAACAAATACCTTTCTAGGATAATGTATTCAATTCTTAGCACTCTTACCCTGTCAAACTTTGACATTTTATAGAGAAAATTTCCTTCAGAGATTGTCATTGTTTGATCTTTTGGATTTACAGTAGACATGTTGCTTTTTCTCTCTGTTGATCATTTGAACACATATACATTGATCTACTGAAACAATTTATGTTCAGGTATTAGAATATCAGCAGAAGGAGAGGAAGGCAGCAAAACACACTGCCATGTGTGTACCTATGCAACTATCTTGCATGTTCTGCACATGTACCCCAAAACCTAAAATGCAATTAAAAAAAAAAGAATATCAGCAGTGGTCATTGCCTTACTCTGTTGGCTAATTCAGTGATTTAGGTGCTCTTACCTTTGTATGGTCATTCATTTTAGGCCATCCATTGACAGGCAAATTGTATATGATTGAAAGAGTAATAAGTAGGACATATTTTATAATTCATATCTCTTGCATTTTAGTAATAATTTCTGTGTGGATAGAGGGGTTTCAATTTGCTTATTACAGAATTTTATTTCATATCACTTACAAATAAGAAGATGTATTATTATACCTGGCTTAAAAGCTGAAGTCAATTATTTTAAATCCTTTTTTTCATTTATGAATATAGTTATAGAGCACCATTATGTGTCCAGTCCTAGGCTCCTAGGTCTCTGTCTTTGGTCTTTAAGCAGCAAATGTAAACTTTACTAATATTTACAGACTGTCTGAGGAACACTTATTTAATGACACTTCATAACAAACACAAAATATTTTTAATATGTTCCCTCTGAAAATTTTAGAAAATATCAATGGGTAAATTTTTGAATAGTCAATTTTAGTCTTCCTTAAATAGCTTCCAAGCAGAATATTTTCCAAGATCAAGTAAACTGAATTCTGCAAAGAAGTTAGTCTTATCAGTAACTCTATGAAGTAAAATATCAATCTTCACATTATACATAGGAAATTGAGGTTCCAAGAGATCAAGTATGACTTAGTGACAAACCAGTAATCAGTATGTCCATCAGCGATACACTAATAAAACCCTCACTTTGGGAGGCTGAGATAAGCCGATCACTTGGGGTCAGGAGTTCAAGACCAGCCTGGTCAACATGGTGAAACCCTGTCTCTACGAAACTACACATATTAGCCAGGCATGGTAGCATGTGCCTGTAGTCCCAGCTATGAAAAGAGGCTGAGGCAGGAAAATCCCTTGAACCTGGGAGGTGGAGGTTGCAGTGTGATGTGGTTGTGCCACTGCACTCCAGCCTGGGGAACACAGCAAGACTATCTAAAAAAAGACAAAACAAAAAACCACTCACAAACCAAGCCACAGGAAATATGCCAGTATGCTATTTATTCACCAAAAATGTTAAGTTAACTTAGCATATAAGCAAATAAATCACACAGTAGGGCTGATGATTTTATAATGGCAAAGAGGATGTATTCTTTTACACAGTGTCAATGCTTGTCACTAAACCTGTTTTTTTTTTAAATTATTATTATACTTTAAGTTCTAGAGTACATGTGCATATCTTGCAGGTTTGTTGCATAGATATACACGTGCCATGGTGGTTTGCTGCATCCATCCCCCCCATCATCTACATTAGGTATTTCTCCTAATGTTAGCCCTCCCCAAACCCCCAACCCCTGTTATCCCTCCCCTAGTCCCCCCACCCCTCAGCAGGCCCAGGTGTGTGATGTTCCCCTCCCTGTATCCATGTGTTCTCACTGATCAACACCCACTTATGAGTGAGAACATGCAGTGTTTGGTCATCAAACATGTTTAGAAACTCTTCTGCTATTGTAAACAGTGCTGCAATGAACATTCGTGTACATGTGTCCTTATAGTAGAACGATTTATAGTCTTTTGGATATATACCCAGTAATGGGATTGCTGGGTCAAATGGGATTTCTATTTCTAAGGCCTTGAGGAATCGCCACACTGTCTTCCACAATGGTTGAACTAATTTACACTCCCACCAACAGTGTAAAAGTGTTCCTTTTTCTCCACATCCTCTCCAGCATCTGTTGTCTCCAGATTTTTTAATGATCGCCATTCTAACTGGCGTGGATTGGAAAAATGTGGCACATATACACCATGGAATATTATGCAGCAATCAGAAATGATGAGTTCGTGTCGTTTGTAGGGACATGGATGAATCTGGAAAACATCATCCTCAGCAAACTGACACAAGAACAGAAAATGAAACACCGCATATTCTCACTCATAGGTGGGTGATGAAAAATGAGAACACATGGACACAGAAAGGGGAGTACTAAACACTGGGGTCTATTGGGGGGAAAAGGGGAGGGCCAGTGGGAGGGGGAGGTGGGGAGGGATAGCCTGGGGAGAAATGCCAAATGTGGGTGAAGGGGAGAAGAAAAGCAAAGCACACTGCCATGTGTGTACCTACGCAACTGTCTTGCATGCTCTGCTCATGTACCCCAAAACCTATAATCCAATAAAAAATAAAAAAAAAAAAAAGAAAAAGAAACTCTTCTGATGAAACCTAGTAGCTACCGAAGGGTTGTTCTTCAAGCATTCATAACAAAAGAATACAAAACATGAAATCTTTAAGAAAAAAGACACCATCAACATTTAATCATATGATGCTTTTGCAAAAATATGATCTGATAAAGGAAAACAAAATTTTAATCTTCTGTAATGATTAAATCTTTTCATTGAGCAAGAAAATACATTTTTAGTACTTAAATAGCATATTAAATTTCCAAAGCACTTTATATTCATTACTTAGTCCTCCAAATCCCAACAAGAGAGATGGTTTGGGTAATTTCCAATACTGTTAGTTGGCTACAAATATAGAGATAAGAAGCATGATGAAGGTAATCTGACTAATGCAAGGAATAATGAGAGCCATAAAATACACACCTGACAGGACAATAGTCTCTTATTATCATCAATTTTTATCCATGTTAGAGTCTCCCATATGGCACATGGTAGAAGATATTTCTACCAGAAGTGATTTTGGATGCTACATTTCTCAGTTACCACAAAATACATGAAAATTTCAGTCAACTCCATGTCCTCAAAAAATTATCACATAGAATATGTATGATACCAACTTGATTCCAATAATATAAGCAGAAATCAATGTTACCCAGGAGTGTACCCAGGATTCTAGGTTATTTTCTTCTGACAATCTTAGCTGGCCCTTAATGATTTTTGCTGACCCAGTTGCATTTTGTATGTGACACTGATTTAGATCAATGTTACTCTACTACTATGTATAAGGTCCAAAGATGTTCATTATGTTTATAACTGGAAAATTCTATGATGCATATGCAGTGGTGACTGACAGCATCCCACAGAATAAAGAGAGAAATTTCAGTCTGTAGGAGATTTTAAAAACCAAGGATTAGTAAGAGCTTACATCTTTATTGATGTAGATCTCAATTCAGTTTTTATTCCATTTATTTAAGGAAATCCTAAAATTAAAAACATACCTGAGACAGTTTTTTAAATAATATATACTTTTAGAAAAAATTCTGGGTTAATAATTCAGCACAATATTTATACATAACCTCCACTCTCTCTGTGTATTTAAGATACTACATTTTGGTTGGGCATGGTGGCTTATGCCTGTAATCCTAGCACTTTGAGAGGCCGAGGCAGGCGGACTGCCTGAGCTCAGGAGTTCAAGACTAGCCTGGGCAACATGATGAAAACCCCATCTCTACTAAAATACAAAATAAATTAGCCAGTGTGGTGGCATGCGCCTGTAGTCCCAGCTACTCCAGACACTGAGGCAGGAAAATTGCACTACTACACCCCAGCCTGGATGGCAGAGTGAGACTCCATCTCTATGAAAAAAAAAAAAAAAAAGGAAAAAAAGATAGTGTATTTTGGAACTGCTCTAATAAGCATTTTGGTAATAAAGAACAAGTTATTATTAGATGTGAAGGTATACTGTCTGTGAATATTTGTATTCTTGTCTTTGGAGGAATATCCTTTGAATTAGTGAAAACTACAGAATTCTGTATATAGACTGCAAGTTTCTTGATATAGAAAGTTGATACTCCTTTAGGAAAAAACAAATCCTATTTTACTGTAATCATTATTAACTGATAGATTTGCTCTCTGGATGAGCTGCTAGAGGCATTTATGAGAAATTTTTAAACTGACCTCTGCCTAGGAATCACCCAAAATGCTAGGTAAAATAAATCTGATTCAAGAGCAAAATGGTATAGCCACTTTGAAAAACAATTTGACAGCTTCTCATAAAGTTAGACATAAACTTTTTGTATGACCCAGCAAACCCATTCCTGGGTATTTACATGGAGAAATGAAAATTAACAGTCTCAAAAAAAAACTGTATGGAAATGTATATAGCAGCTTTATTCATAATTGTCCAAACCTGGGAACAAAGCAAATGTGCTGTAATGGATGAATGGATCAAACAACCCTGCTTCATCCCCACAGTGGAGTCCTCCTCAGTAAACAAGGGAGAGGCACCATGGATATATGCAACAGCTTGGATAAATTTCAAAAGCATCACAAAAACATGAAGCCAGCTCTGAAATGTAAGGTGTCATATGTTTCTGTTTATTTATATTCTTCATAAAAACCATAGTAATGGAGAACAGAGCAGTAGCTATAGGAGTTAGTTTTGGGGATGTGATCAAAAAGGGATAATATGAGGAACCTTTGGGGGAGTGAAGAAACTGTTTTGCATCCTGATTCTGGTGGTGGTTCCATGAATCTGTACATGTGTACCTCCCAAAATCAATGTTACTATATATTAACAAATAAAATGTAAGGCTCTCACACTCAAAGTATTTGACTTAGTAGGCCTGAAGCAGAGCTTAGGAATCTGCATTTTAACACCATAATCACAGGTGCATATTCAAGTGGTTATGGCAAAAGTGATTCATACTTTAAGAAACATCATTTTAGAAGAAAATGAGTTTGACTGAAAGAATATCAGAGTATAGAATGTTGCCAACTTAGAATGTGACCTTATTTAGAGGCTGGGTCTTTACAGAGGTAATCAAGTTAAAATAATGTCATTAGGTTGGGCCTTCATCCAGTATAACTGGTGTTCTTAAAAAAAAAAAAACAATTTGGACACAGAGACATGCACGCAGGAAGAACATGTGAACATTGCGTCTGATACTGGGTTGAAGCATCTACAAGCCAAAGAATGCCAAAGATTGGTAGCAAAATGCCAGAAGCTGGGGAAGAAGCATAGAACAGATTCTGTCTCTCAGCTCACACAAAGAACCAACCCTCAGAGCCCTTAACTTTGAGGGTTGGTTAGTTTTAGACTCCAGAACTTTGAGACAATAAGTTTAAACTAACCAGTCTGCAATACTTTAATATGGCAGCCCCGGGACACAAAGACACTTCACTTAAACTCTCTGACCTTCAGTCTCATTTATAAAATGAAAACAACAACTTTCTTATCGATCTAAGGAATTGTTGAAATTAAGTGAGATAATACCTGTGCACTAGTTAAGAATTGAGTTGACAAGTCATAAACAGCAGTGATGTAAGCAATATAAGACCTGTTTCCCTCTTCCAGAACAAAGATTCACTGAGTACATAGGCCCAGATTTGTGTGGTGGTTTGATATTATCAAGAACTAAAGCTGCTTCTAGTTTTTTATTCTTTCATCCTTAGCTTATGAACCTTGTCCTCATACTGGCAATATGGATGCTGAATTCCAGAAAATACATCATACTCCCTTGTAAAAGGAGAAGGGCAAATAGCAAAAGGAATAAGAGTAAAAAAAGAAAACAAGTAACATTTCTGTACTTCAAAAAACTTCCAAAATCCCACTGAGTAACTTCCAATTACATCAGTTCTGTTTTGTTGGCTGGTACTGACTTATCTTCAAGGGATTCTGGGTAATTTGTTATAGCTGATAAGATTGAAACCTCTCCCATTCCTAAGTTTTAGTTTTCTTAGTAAAGAGTGAATGCATATCAGAAGAGAAAATTATATAAAAGCATTCTGTAAATTACTTCACATTCCTCAACTGGAATACAGTATTATTATTTCTTTCAGTATGAGCCTTTTAAAACATACCTGTAGGCTAGGCATAGTAATGCATGCCTCTAGTCCCATCCTCAGGAGGCTGAGGTGAGAAACTCACTTGAGCCCAGAAGTGGCCAAGTGAGAGTCTACTCAGTTGGTCCAGAGACCTCCTTGAGTCGTGACTGCACCTCTGCATTTCAGCCTGGGTGACAAAGTAACACTCTGTCCCAAAAACAAGAAAACTAAAATCCTCGAATTATAATGGGAAAAAAAATCATATTTGAGGACATGTTGTTTACAATGTCAAATGCTATACTTACCCTCTAAACAAGTCATTCTCAATTTTTTTCTTCTCAGGACACTTTTACACTTTAACACTATTAAAGAACACAAAAGGATTTTGTTTATATACATTATATTTCTTGATATATGTACCATTTTAGAGATTAGATTATTAGATTAAACATGAATATGTACCAAAGTAGAGATTAAAAGTGAG